CTCGCCTCCCCCCCCCCCCCCAAACACCACAACACCTCACACACGCACACGCACAAGCGCGCGCGCACACACGATCTCTCCCCAAACCAACCCAAACCCAATCCACTCCACCGATCGACGGGATCGAGCCATACGTCCGACTGTCAACGCAAGATTTACGATCCGGTAGCATCAGCCCCGGCAATTTGCCTGGCTCCTAGGAATCGCGCGACGCCAATATACGCGGCTCAACACAAGCATATGACATTTGCTATTGATAATGGAGGATCGTTTGACGTAAGGCAGGACATGCCTTATGAAATATGAAACTGGCCATTAAAGGATGAGCGTACTTAGGGAATGCCGGCGAATTCCGCCGAAGGACTTAATTATATTTAGTGCCGAGCGAAGCGCTTGCCAGTTTAAATAAATAAATAATCCGCCACGCCGTGACAACTAAAAGTTTCTTTACCGAAGTTTGTCACAAAGCTCGAGGCATTAAGTGCACGTGAATTGTATTTCAAATTTTCGGCTAATTTTTAACTTTACCCCCACCTCATTCTCATCACCTTCATCTCTGAAACGAAACCAACGTTTACGATTTATTCATTTTTCTTTCTTTTTTCAGCTCAGTGCCACACTTTAGCCCCCGTCCGTCCCTCTCCCGCCTACACGCACCATTAGGCTTTACAAATAAATTATATAATTTACGAATAAATTATATACCTATATACTTAAATTTGTTGGGCGCAGGCGCGTTACAATTGATATTATTTAATGCACGGTTTGACAGTATTTTGACGTAATTGTTGTTAATTTGCATGTAGAGTGATACCGAGCGAGATTTTTCGTTCTTCGCTTCATTGTCGCCCACAGGCTACTGTGGCCACCGCACTCTTAATATTTATGCATTTTTAAAGAAAAATTTACGACCTCGTGACTCGAGGCAGGCGATAAAGTAATGCTGATTTTCCATTTAGGCGAGAAGATTTATAAAGGACCAATTTACTGCATATTACAAGTCCATCTTGTATAATAAATGATAAGGAATCTTTTTCCTCTCTCTCTCTCTCTCTCTCTCTCTCACTCTCTCTCTCTCATTCTTTCCCACCTTGATGATTTTCTTGCTTCTTTATTCAGGATTGTCGTTTTGACGAATGTTTCGAGTCAATTATTATTATTATTATTATTGCGCGTCCAAGTGCTACACATCGAACCACTAAACATACTAGAGTCCATTCAAGCTGACTTCCGGCCGCTTAGTCGCAAATAATAATAATAATAATAATAATGGCCACTAATGGGTATGTTCGCACGTGCGCGTAATCCATCCATATTAGCGTACACGCGCTCGACGAATGATTTAGCAAGTTTTCCTCCCCGATAATCCGGTTTGTTAATAGTGGGGGCAGTGCCATTAGCCACGCACATTAGTCACAGGATGCCGCGGGGCCGCAAGTATCATGCATCAATGATAAGAAATTGGGAAGAAAGTGGAGCCGCGAGACGCGGGTCCGGATAATAGATCGCCGAGGGACTCGGGCGTACCTGAATATTATTAATGTCGCTGTGCGTGACGTCGCAGAAGGACCACAAGAGGAAGCTGCCGTTGGAGTGCGTGCCGTTATAAACGGTGATCTCGTTGCCGGGACAGTAATCCAGGGTCTCGTTACGTCGGGCCTGTTTTTTGTCCTCGTCAAGGGAGTCCTCCTCCTGGACCTGGTCGGCCCTCACGATCTTCAGTAGGACGGAGACGCGCTCGTTGGGTTTACCGCTAAACCTGTAGCTGCAGAGAGTATTGGGCGGGTACCAACTCCTGGGCGATTTTATGCTATCGCGGGGCTTCTCGCTACTCTTGTAGATGAAGTCGCAGTTGGGCTGGTGGTGACCGGAGGCTGGGCTGGCCAGGGCCGTGGCCACGGGTGGCGCTTCCGACTCCTCGAGGCTCAGGTGGAAGCCGTCGTGCATAATCGTGCCGTCGCGCTCGGCGTGGAACTCGACGATGACGTTGCGTCCGCGCGACAGGATCTGCGGGATACGGCCTTCGCCGCAGAACTTGCCAATCTCCAGGACACGGCCGTTGACGCTCTCGAGGAGGGCGAGATAGTCGCCGACGCAGTTGCCGCCGCTTCCGAGGCGGGGCTGCGAGACGTCGTGGGGTCGACGTCGTCGGAGGAGGCGTACGTGGCGCCGGTCGTGCTGGGAGCCTCGCGGATGTTCCGTGTGTGACCTGCGGGCGAGCGGGGATGGCTACGTTCAGTTTATCGCCTGCGAGTATTAATACGCCGGGGCGGGAATTCCAGTGGTTTTGCCGCTGTCGGCCAACGGCTCGTAAGAAGCGTCGATTGGGGTTGGATATCACGGTGGTGTCGGATGTGCGAGCTTTTCTATGGGATTTTTGCTTTGCGAGTTGTTCAATCGCCTCGTGTCAAGATATTAATACGGTGGGCTTTGTAATTTGAAATTCCAATTGGAATGGACTGATTTGTCGCGACCGAGGATTCACGGTGCCTTCGCGGGTCATGGTGAGAGGTAGAGATGAATAGAGAAAGAGAGAGAGAGAGAGAGATTTTGTAAGGGCGGTGAGGGTGAATGAAGGGACTGAAACAGCGCAGCAGTCGAGGATTCTCGTAGCTTAATTATCGATATTTCCATTTTTTTTTTTCAGCTTTAGCAAATTTTAATGGATGATAAGGTAGCGTTCGAAGCTTACATTCCCGAGATATAATCGACCTTATAGTCGTGCAGTTTCTTCGAAACGGGTCAGACTATATCGTCCTTACTTATTCAATTTAAATACTTTTATTAAAAACAGATCCTACGTACAACGCCGAATATGAAGTAATTCAAAGGGAGCGAGGGACGACCGTGGAATGAACGGATCGGCGGTGGGGGAAGGCAGCGGTGGCGGCGGCGGTGGCGTCGGAGGGGGGAAAAGTTGATGGACGGGGAGGCAAAAATCAATGAATTATTGGAAGAATGAGAAGATTTAAACACGAAATAAAACAGTTGGAGGCGAATTTTACGTATTACGGGAATTTATTGGGATTTGAATGAATATTACACGAGGCACGTAACGGCAACACGAAAAACGTTTCCAAAGCCACAAATCGTCCATCGTCGATAAATGCACAGTATTATTCGGGGGTAATTAAAATTTCATCCACTTTCTCATTTACAATCGTAGCGCGCCAGTTTGCAGTGTCTTTCGTGACCGCAGTGCATTCAAATACAAAGGCCAAGTGATAGCGATGGATGCTGAAGCTAAAAGTGGCGGGTGGGTGAGAGCTTTTTTATCATCGGACTTTTCGTACCCAAATGGGAGTGGGGACGTATAAAAATCGTGAGCTCCGGAGCTCCTTATCGCCAAGTTCACTTCTAATCCGAGGACCGCACCCTAGGATACGTTGGCCAGATAAGCCGCGTCACCTGTTTTTCGACCAGAATAACTGATCGACGACGGGAATCCTCCTAAGCTTGCTGAGCTCACTGATGGAGCGACCATCCGGCTCCGGGATTTTTTCGCCTTGGCGGCGGTGTTGGCCACCCCCGTGCCTCATCCTAACGGATTGCTGGTGCTGGTGCTGCTGCTGTTGCTGCTTCCTTGGGTTATCGGTGCCTGGGACCCGTCGCTGCTGCTGCTGCTGCTGTTGCCCCCTCGTCCGTCTTTGCTGCTGCTTCTTCTTCATCTTAATCTCCGTAGTAGAAGTTTCCGAAGACTGCTCCTCCTGCCCGATTATTATCTCATCCTCCTCGTCTCGATCTGTCGAAGAATTCATAGTATTACGGCTCGGACAGGGATTTGCTGGGACGGGCTTATTTAATGCGCGTACGTGTTTTTATTGTTCTTCCCCGTCGTCTACCTTTGGCTCTTTTCGTTATCGTACTCCTCCACCTCGATGGGGGAAGGACGATTCGATTGCGCGCTCGAGGATGGTTAATTTTGATAGATACCACTGGGAGTCGGATAGGCATTTCTTATTCCCCTTTTATGGGGCCAATACGGCCAAGCCATTTGTAAACAAGGGGATAGGAATTTTTTACATTTTGACCGCGCTGGCATCCGTCAGAGATGCAGCGATTGCCTTAATCGGCGCACTCCCTCCCCTTTCTTAGATCGATGCCATATTTATCGCTTATGGGTCTCCCTTGACTGTTTCATACGTTCACAAGATATGTACAAATTGATCGTAAAGTTAATTGGGTAATTTGCCGTTAAAAGTGGTGCAGTAGCATACGTATAACGATATAACCGAGGCAAAAGTAAGCTCCCGTCAACGCATTAATCCCGTCCAAGCGTCCTGTTTTCATTTATATTTATTCAATTTATTTATGTTGCTTTTGCTTTTTATTTTGTTCTGGGTTTTTTTTTTACAATGCCAAAGATAATCTGTTAGAGATGCTCGAGCCGCGCTCGTTAACGATGGTTTCTCTCCTATCGTGTTGTAACGATTGGTCAGTGATCATTTGACCAAGTGCGCGTGGGAGGGAGATACGCGATCATTATGATTGATTATGAAATTCTAGCCGGGAGCTCGAAACCATGGCCGAAACTAATAAGGTACCAAGTAACAAACACACGACACGCGCGTATCCTTTCGTTCCTTAAATGCTCAGTCAAATATTAAGCGCGGAGTTGTATAGGGAGCGCGCGCGCGCGCGCTCTGGGACGCGGGTTCCAAACCCAAATACAACATGACGCAATTATTGGGTAAAGTTGTTAAAGTGATTACTGACGATCGGAGCCGCGGAGTGGTATCCAAGCAAAGTTCGGCCTATGCCGCAGGCCATAAAGTAAGTAAGAGGCGAACGAGGTCCTTACCCGTCTGCGCCCTAGGCGGATTCCGCAGGATTCCCTGTCCCTTGGGCTGATCAGCGCTGGGCTTTTCCGCGTCGTCGACGTGCTCCTGCTCGCAAAACTCGGATCTGCAGGCCTCCTGGCTCGTGTGGTTCATGAGGTTGTAGAGGTCGTTAGGCGTGCCGCCGATGCGGAACCTCCCGGCGCTTGACTCGAGGGCGACGCGACACCTGATGCCCCGGGGGTAGATGCCCGGGTAGCCCGGGGAGACGAGGCGACAGGCCCTCCGGTCATTCCGCTGGGAGCATTCGAGGGGACACTCGGCGGCGGATGCCGCGGCGAGGGTCGAGGCCGCGGACGTCGGCTGATGAACGTGGTGGCGCTCGTTCGCGAGCTGCGCCGGCAGGATCGAGAACTGAGCGGAGAATATTACGGGATTCTCCGCGGCGAAGCGGCTCTCGGAGTCGAGGATGACGGTGAGGTCCGGGCCACGGCGCAGGAACAGCCTAAGGTCGGGACGGGAATTTGAGAGCGAGGCGGCCAATTGTTGGCCCACAAGCCTTGGAATTTTAATTCGACGCTGGGCGCGCGAGACGATTGGTGGCGGGTGGCCGGGGGCCCGTGGGGCCGATGATGGGCGGGTGGGAGGGATTTATAGGCGGTACACGTGCGAGGGTTATAACGCCGTGTTGCTCAATCGCTCTTTGTGTACTTTGTTGTTGTATATTTGGGGCGAGTAGCCGTTTCGCCGGCGCTCCTCTCCTTTGTTTTTCGCCGAATATAAATATCGCCAAGTGCAAAAATTCCATTTCCAGACGAATTTCGCTAACTTCATTATTTTAGTCGGATTAATGAGGAGAAAAACGAGTCCATGCGGACTAATAATATTTTTGCTGTGCGGGCGAAGACAATGCCATTATGCTTTTCCAGCTCATCGGCTGCAAGTTCCGAGTCACCAAGTCGCTATTCTTTCATTTTTAAATCCTGCATGGCTCCTTACCCCTTACGAAGGATTTAAATATTTACATTGTACTTCGTACGGCAATTCGGGCGCCACGATTAAGGACAACATTGGCCCAAAGAATAGGATACTTCCCTATTATATGGTAATGAATTTTGAGTGGGAGAATCGAGTACTTGGTATCTCGGGCAAAACTTTCGAATATATGCACATCCTTGAGTTTATTAGGGTGAGCTTTTATGTAAATTCTGAATGAAATTTAAATCGTAATTTTCCGGCACAATATTCGAGGATTATTTTATTACTTTAATTAAAGAAACGGTAATTTATCGTTATGCCGTTACATGAAATGTACGTGGAGCGGTATTATAATGAAAATGAAAAACAAAGACCTTTCTTTCAACGAAATTCTTAAATTGATAAAATTATTATTGAACGTATGGTCGATTTGTTGACCTATGATGCTTTTATCATATCACGTTTAACGTAAATCGACAATTTTCCTTGACAAATTAAATCCATATGTCATTACACACGCATATTACTACAATTGTTATTGTTATTAATGTTGCCATTATTGCATTAGCTATTGTTGTTTTGCTATTTGTTGTTATTATCGTCGCCGTTGTACGCGTTCGGCAACCTACAAATGGCATTAAAGGAATAATATTAACGTTGATATTAACGATTTTCGTCGAGTCGTCGAGTCGCCGAGTCGCCCATAATATCATTTATTCAGACAATAATAACGTAATAAGACAATCTAAATATACTTTGTTATAATCTCCATTGCTCGACGTATGCTCTCATTCTATTTTCTCATTAAGCTGAATTATTCATACTAACCTGATAATTATAACTCTGTCGTAGAATTAGGATTAATCGATCATCCTCTACGCTAAGAAAGCCGTCCGTCCTTATCTCCGTTATTTACTAAAGGCATTTTATATGCAATTGGGACACGAGAAAGGGACAAAGACGGACTCGAGGGACGATTGGGGATGGCGAGGGAGGGAGGGAGGGAGGGAGAGGGGGGGGGCGAAATACGCTATTGGCGAATGTCTAAACCAAGAATGCAAAAGAATGCATGTACGATACGATAATACGATACATGGCCCAATAAAACGTCCAGTCTTTACGAATTAGTTTTACATTTAAAAGTCAAAGGACTTGGGCGTAACGAAGGATGCTTTTGTTTGATCGTTTCATTAGGCGACGCGTTTCAATTACTCTTACACGGTCTTCTACAATTATTACATGTTTACGCTTGTACTATAATGGAATATATGTAAACGCATACGTCATTCTGAGTCAATTAAGCCAATGTCCAACTGAATTGGCCTCGGCAATCTAGTGGCGCACGTGCGTTTGCGGCTGAGGTGGGACGACCATTTCGCCAAAAACTATTCCAAAAATTGTCCCCTGCGCGGTCTTAATTGCCAGCGCGTAAATTTTGCAATTACCATTCATTTTTCATCCGTCGAACAAAGCTTAAAGGAAGAGACACGACCGCACGTAAGGCCTTACCCCTTAGGCCGTGGACCGTGTGGAGGGCGAAGCTGCGATGGCGACGGTGTAGAAGAAGAGCTCCGTGTGCCTGCAACGAATTGTTTGCGACAAATCGCAGTGCATGTTGGCTTCCTAACCCTTATGTACACGGGCACGGTATTTAAGGGTTGCGTAGTCGAGTCGATATAATGG